CAGTCTTAGAATATTGAGGTTAAATGACTAGCCTAGGGTCACACAACTAGTATGTGAAAGAGGACTTGAACCAAGATCTTCCTAGTTTTATGAGTAGCTCTTTATCCACTATACCACATTACTCACTCTCAAACTCTCCCTATTTGGATATTGGCATGAAATCTGACCCAAAGTTGCCTTAAGCAAAATTCCTTTGCACATACTGCAGTAGGTTGGCATTCCTACTGCAGTAGAAAGAACATTGAATTTGGAGTCAGAGAATCTGGGTTTGAATCACAATCTCTATGACTTTGGGCAAGTCATTTACCTTCTCTTGACCTCAGTTTCCTTATCTGAAAAATGAAAGGATTGGATTAGATGATGATCAAGGCATATCTCAGCTCTAAATCCTGTGTTCTCTTATTTTGGACCTACTCTTCTTCCTTCCTCTGTTACCCAAATGAATCTGGAAACTTTATAAATTAAGTACAAATCTAAGTATCTTGGTATGAATGAATATGCACATTTTAATTTTGATAAAGCTTTTTAAAGGAGCTCTAGTGACATAATATATCTTTGAAAATCAAGACTCTGTGTCTGGGAATAATGACAGCCGACATTTACCTAGAACTTTAATGTTTGCAAAGTTTGCAAACAAACTTTGCTTCTTTTAATCATCACCACCATCCTGTGAGGAAGCTGTTATTATTAACCTCCCCCTGCCTTTTTTCAAACATATGATAGTGGAGACCTCCTTCAAGATAGAAATCCAGTAAGGCTTATCCTGATGTCTTTGCCAGTGTAAAGGTCTCTATTTACACAAATCCCCTCTATTTCTTCAACCTTTTTCTTGAGAGGTATTTTCCCCAAATTCAGACTATTTTCTCCTCAGAGAAGCATGGGGACTTTTCCATAGTGACACAGTTAGAAAGTGTCAGAAGCAAAACCAGAATTCACATCTTTCTTTTATTTTAATTTCATTGTTCTTTCCATCATATTATGCTGCCTCCTTTTTTTTTCTTTTTGTGCTAAGCAGTTCCTCTCTTCTGTGGTCTCATATGTATAGTGATAGGACCATATTTCAGAGCCAGAACTAAAGTAGAGTGAAGGAGAGGGTGCTTGTGAGGAGAATATTTCCTCTCCAAGACAGTATGAAGACCAAGTCTTTATTGCTTGTGGTCTTTGCTAGACTATGCCACAAAGAGGGACCTCATTGCTCAGCCTTACACTCTCAGTCCTAGGGGCTTTTACCATGACACCTTTCTCCATGGGTCAGATTCTCTTGGGGATTGATTGCCCCATCCTATTTTAGCTGCACACAGAGTTAGACTGGCCTCTGTAGTGCCATCCTTCGTAGTTATGACTGTACCATATTTTAAGTCACTAATGATTTCATCTGTCCTTCCCCACTTCTTCTATCTCAAACATGGGCATAAAGTCAGTGAGGCTCACCTTCCTTCAACCTTTTGTTATACAATAAAAGGAAAAGGGGCAGGAACTTTTGCTTACTTCTTTTCATTGGTTGCTGATCCTTGAACCTGTTAGAGTCCCCCTATGAGGTGTCATCTTTCCAATCCTTACAGTAGGCATCTTAAACAGTTTTCTCCTGGAACATAAGGGAAATTTCAACAATGCTTTGTAAGTCATCCCTTTCCCATCACATCCATGGGGGTGAAGGGAAGGGAAATCCCACCAAGCTGCAGTGGATGACGGTGAAGAGACCCTAAGGATGTAAGGACCCACATGACTCAGAACCTGGAATCAGAAGAAGCAGAGCAACTATTTGAAGGGCAAAAAAAAAAGCTTACTTTTCTTCTTATATTTTATGCCAAGAGCAAAGTTTGAGAGACCGACTTTTGGGTGACTTGATTCTGAAACTATTTCCTTAAAAGACCAATTAAGCTATTCCCTTGTACTTTATCCATAGAAAGAGTTATACAGACTTCTTTTTAGAGATTACAAGATTTACAGCTGTGCCTCTGCAAGGGGACATTCCTTGTTGACCAAAACATGGCTTAAGTACTTGATGGAGTGATCTACAAATACAGCGGAACATAATGGACTAAGACAGATGTGTTTATATTGACTATAGACAGCACAGTTGCTTTTCAAGAGTTCTCTCTCTCCTAGGATGGGTTAATGGCTCTAAGTGAGATTTTCTGGCTGGAATGAATTCACACTGACATAACATACCTGGCTGGATCCAAAGACTCTGTCCTTTATTCCTCACCTGAACTTTCCTTTCTTCCTTCATTCCTTAAATACAAGCCTATTAAGTGCTTACATATAGAGAACATGCTCTCTGCTATTAGAACTTTCAATCTCAATAGGACATATAAATATATACACATAAATAAAATGGGTATTTGGGGGGGTTGGAGGGGAGATAAAGAGAGAGAGAGAGAGAGAGAGAGAGAGAGAGAGAGAGAGAGAGAGAGAGAGAGATTTACTATATTCAGCAATTAGCCCTGGAAACAAAAATGTTAAGACAAATATAATCATTTTGTGTGGTTCTACAAATACTATTTGATGCATTAATGGATCTTGGCAGAATTATTAATTATTAAGCCAATTAAATGAACTATTAGGTTGACTCTTTTACATCCCATTATTTCAATAGCCTGCTCATTGGTCTCCTTTCCTCAAGTTTCTTCCAACTTCATACCATTCTTCACTAAGGTGTCAAACTGAATTTCCTAAGGCACAAGTTTTATCATACCATTCCCAACCTCATTCCTCCATTCAAGAAATTCCACTGACTCCCTGTTACCTCCAGAATCAAATATAAAATCCTTTTAAAGCTCTTCATAACCCAGTCCCTTCTTACATTTCCAGACTTCTAACACTCTACTCCTCTGACATCTCCTGACTCTGCATTCTCACTGACCGACCCTATGCTTGGAATATCACCCCTCCTCACCTCTGGTTTCCCTGGCTTCCTTCTAATCTCAGCTAAAAGCCCACCTTCTGCCCAAAGCCTTTCCTTAATCTTAAATGCCTACCTTTATCTCCAATTTATCATGTATATATATATTTTGTATTGTGAATAGTTGTTTGAATGTTATCTTCCTCCTTAGAATGTGAATATTCCCAGAAGACTGGGACTGTTTCTGCTTTCTTTAAATCCCTAGCACTTAGCACAGCACATGGCCCATAGACCTTACTTAACAAATACTTGTTGACCGATAAAATAACTGTGCTTCTATTTCCTCCTCTGTTGAATGAAGAGGTTGTTCTAACTGACATCTAAGGTGCTTTCCTGCTTTAACATCCTGTAGTTTTATGACTTTTCTCATTGCATGATGTCTTTTTTTATTGGAACCCAATCCTAGAAATTACTGTCTTCTCTAGTCAGAAAAGGAATGAGGCATGGTTGAATTCTCTATTTTCTTTGGGATGTGGAATTCACAGGGCTCTAGCATCATAGATTTGGAGCTGGAACAGAACTCATTTGAGCATAACCCAGACCCATGGGCCACTTGCAGCTTGCCAAAGGATTTCAGGAGGCCCTTGAAAAATGTAGGGTTGCCACTGTGCACTCTCTCCTGTTTGTCACATGACCTTCGACAACCAACCATTGTCAGTCTGTCTCTAGTCTAACATATCTGCAGCCTGAAGATTAGCCTATTTTAATTTTGGCCTCTACCTACTGCCAAGTTGGGCAGGCCTGGTCTAACCCTTTCATTTTACAGATGAGGAAACTGAGGCACAGGGAAGGGAAGTTTTATTCAAGGAGACCTGTTTGGTTTCATTAAATTTGCAAGAATTAGCTAACAGTCCATTAAGCTCCTTCCCTCTCCCCTTTAGCAAATAACATATGCTCAATAAATACATCCTGCCATTTGTTACAAAGCTAGTAAGTGTCTGAGGCTGTATTTGAGCTCAAGTCTTCCTGATTCCAGTCCTAGCCCTCTACTGACTGTGTCACTCAGCTGCCTACTCTATCTAGTCCAACTCTCCTCCTCTTCCCATTTTACAGAGAGGAAAACTAAAGAACCTTAAGTGTTTGGTCCAAAGTCACACTTACAGTAAATGAGTAAAAAAGTGAGATTTGAACTTTGGGCCTCCGACTCAAAGTGAGTGTGCTTCTCATATTGCTGTGCTAAGACCAAGGGTAGTCTTTATAACTAAGCAGCATTCAGCTTTCATTGCTTTGTTGTTTCCATTTATATGACTGCTCTGTTTATTTCTATGCTAGATCGGAATTAACCAATGCTTTTTGTGAGGCTTAAATAGCGTAATATATATTAAGGGTTGTGCAAACATTCAAGGGCTTTAGAAATATTAGCTATTAGGGGCAAAATGAGAATAGGAAAGATTAAGAAGATCTGTGTTTTAATCCCAGCTCAGACCCTTCCTAGCTTTATGACTCAGGTAAGTCACTTTACTCTCTCAGAGCCTCAGTTTCCTATTCTGTAAAGTAGAAAATGCTCTACTTAACTCATAGGGTCATTGTGAAGAAAGGCATGATGTAAAAGTGAGCTAACATTATTACTATAGGTCAGTGTGGACCACCAACTCTCCCCATGCATTATCTCAGCATAATGCCTTTCCTTGTCTTAGACACTGTTTCTAGTTCCCTAGAGAAAATAAGGAACGAAGGGATCTGGGGGGAAGAACCTCACTGAGGACCGGGGGACAAGGCACAGATTCTGAAGTTAATTGCCTTGTTCAGATCGACATGACCTGGGGCCTCTGTTCTAAAACTCAGTTTTGGGGCTTGCTCCAGAAAACTCAATTTAAAAAATACTAATAAAACTCTCCACATTCCAGAAAACAGTAAACAGCCGTTATTAGAAGTCTAAGCAAAACAAACCCATTATAACCTTCTGATGAAATGGTCCATCCCCTTGGAGAGCTAATGCTTTGGTGACTAAGCAGCCCATCCGTGGCAATAGTTCAGGCTTTACTGAAATACTACCTCTATCAGCTGGAAGTACACAATGTTTAGTTCATCACACACACACACACACACACACATACACACACACACACACACACAAATAGGGGAAACTGAAGCAGAAGTTGCTGGTCACTTCCCTATCTGGGAAGGCAGAGAGCACAGACATCCAATAGGGCTGGTGCCCTGGAGAGGTGCTCCTTTGGGGAGGAGGAAAAAAAGGTGTGTCAGCACAGTCACTTGTGGAGCTGACACAAACCTGATTGAGAAATGGGGGAATGTGCGTGTGTGCCTGTGTGTGCCTGTGTGTGTATGGGGAGGGGTGAGAGCCTATAAATCTACTGCCACAAGAGCTGAGGCCTTGAGCTGAAGGGAAAATCCTTGCCTGCAGCCTCCTGTTCACAAGCAGGGACAAAGTAAAAGAATGCAGAACCACAGGTAAGGAGCTTTGGAGGAGAAGGTGGAGATATAGATGCTGTTTCCCCATCAAGGGGACAATAATCTCTCATGGGGCATGGCAAGAAGAGGTGAATGGCTACGCATATTAGAATCATTACTTCTCTCATCTTTTCTTAGAGTAGTCACCTTTAAAGAGCTCAAGGAATTATCTAAATGTAGGTGATTCTATCTACTTTTTACAATTATCTTCCTTCAGCAACATTGAGATTTGCTTAGGGGCTTTCCATCTCCACCCTTGGTGACCCTTTCATCTTTTTACCTGTTTTATGTGTTTTGTCCGCTTTTTCTAGGAGGTGTCCTTTCTAGCACCTAGTGATATGGGTGGCATAGTAGACAAAATATGCTGGAGTAGGATTCAAATGAGCTGGGTTCAAATCTTCCCTCGGTCACTAACAACATGACCTTGAGGAAACCGCTTAACTTTCTTAAGATCTACTTTCCTCATCTGTAAAATGGAAATACTAGCATACGCTTTACTAACCCACAGGCTTGTTGTGAAGGTCAAATGAGATGATACATATCAAATAACTTTGTTAACTGTAAAGCTTCATAGATATTATAACAAATAAAATGAAACACAATATGATAGTATAATAAATATAACATACTATATAAGATAATAAATATTATATTATGATAAATTTAACAAGCTAATATAAGAAATAGAATAAAATACTATGTTATAATAAATATGATAAAATATACTGTTATAATAAATACAATAAAATATTTTTCAATAAATATTATACTGTAATATTTTTTAAATGCTCTCAGACACTCCCACCCCTGCCCTGGCTGTGCTGATGACCCTGTACTTTGCTTTCTATCGGGGCCAAACTGACATTCCCATCAGTTGTTTTCCTGCAGGGCTATTTACTTTTCCTTCTTTGTAACTGGAACAATCCACCAGCCTAACAAACATGAAACTGGAAATCAATGTTTTAACTCTCTGTCTAGTTCTCTCTTAAATCATTCTGCTTCCTTCTTTGCTATTTAGTAAGACATAAACCTATGGAGGAACAGTTAACTAGAGGAGAACATAGTAGTGACCATATATATTTAGGGAGATAAGGCCTGTGTCTAGTTTACGTAACTTCTAAGCATGGTAACCATAGGGCACCTAGATGATACAGTGAATAGAGTGCTAGGTCTGGAGTCAGGAATACCTGATTTGAAATCTGGACTTATTAGCTGTGTGATTCTGGGCAAGTCACTTAACCCTGTTTGCCTCAGTTTCCTCATCTGTAAAATGAGCTGGAGAAGGAAATGCCAAACCAGGCCAGTATTTTTGCTAAGAAAACCCCAAATGGGATCATAAACAGTTGGAAATGACTCAACAATAACAAGCATGCTACCCATGGTGCATTGTGAATAGCTCTCTTTGTTCCATTTATTTATCTTCAAGGAAGTTAGGGAACATAATGAAATAATGTTCTCAGGTCAGCACTGAATTTAGGAAATTGTAAGTAGACTATTTATCTTTTGCTTATATAGACTTCTCCACCAGCCTCCTCTTCTCCCCTTAGCTCTTTCCCCACCCCCCAGGCTCTTTCCTCCTTTCTGGTTCTCAAAACCTATCCTCAAGCACATCCTGCACACCCAGGTGTAAATGGCTGATGACATCTTGAAAGAATGAAGTTATCAAAGAGGAGTTCTTCCAGATCGTGGAATTAGATCATAGGATGATAAGATTCAGGGCTGGAAGGGACTTCAGTAGCCATCTAGGAGGGCCTTCTCATTTTACAAATGAGGAAACTGAGGCCCAAAGAGTCTGTGTGCTTTTCACAAGGTCACACAATGTAACAAGTCTAAGAACATTGGTTGGAACTGACAGCCTCTGGCTCCAATTCCAATACTCCACTGCACCACACACTGAATTTTAGAACTTGGAAAGATTAAAAAAATACAAAGCATCATAGACTATTAAAGCTGGCAGAGAGACCTTCCAATTCCTTCACCCTCTTATTTTTTTATTTAAAAAAATTTTTAATTACAGATGAGGTAACTGAGGCCGGAGGAATTAAGAGGCTTATTCAAGTTGCATAGCCTGCTAATGAAAGAGCCAATCCTTAACACAGATGTTCAAGGTCCAGGACCTCCTTCTGGTTAAATACCATCCTTTATTACTGACACATTAGTCTGAATGAAAGCAGCGGGGATTTAGAAGGACAAGTAAATAGCCCTGCAGGAAAACAACTGTTGGGAAAGTCAGTTTGGCCCTGGTGGAAAGCACAGCCATGATATATATACGTATATCATGCTTCTTGAGTGTGACTATTTGTGCACGTATTTGCAGCATCATGTATAACTACTTTTGTGGATCAAGGTGTAACTACTGTTAGCTGTATTGATTGCTCTTCCAGGTCTGAATCTTTGATCTTATGAGCCTCTCACCTGGTCTTACTAAGCTTCAGTTTTCTCATCTTTGAAATGGGGTAATTGTTTAAAATGATGTCTAAGTTCCTTTCCAAGGCTAACATGCTGTGATTCTTGGGGAAATGGTGATATTTAGTCTGTAGAAAAGAAACTTACTAGCCACACTAGAACCAGCCTACTTTCTGAGGATTATTCTAGCTAAGGACAGAGAGATTAATCACACAGATCTTAATTGGATGCCTCACAATGGCACAAAGGCTACTTAGTTCTTGAAGGCACAAGATCTGGCAGGATCTATCATGCAGGAAAGACTTTGAATGCGATCCCAACAAAAGATCATGTTTTCTGGAAGTTAGATCTAGGCCAGGCACGGTGGCCACATGCTCCTGGGGAGGCAGAGGCTGGTAGATTTTGAGCTAAGGAATTCCGAGATGTAGGAGAACAAAAGCTGATTAGACATCCACACTTAGTTTAATACCAATATAGTGAGCCCCTGGGACCAGAAGGGAGATATGGTAAAGGAGGTTGAACAGGCTGTTTAGACAAGCAAAGTGGGCCAGGTTGGAAACTAAGCATGCCAGTTAGCAGTGGAATCAGGCATATGAGTGGTTGCTTATTATTTTGGGTGATATTGGGAGATCCAGTCTCAAAAAAACCCCAAAACCCAGATCTGCTAAATACAGAGAAGTTCATTACCGATATTCTGGCTACTTGGTAAATTTTTTGGCCATCACAACATGGGAAACAAAGAAAAATACAGAATGGCCCTCAGTCCTATGTGGGTCCCCTCCTTCTACTTACTCAGAGTAGCAGAAAAGAGACCTGCAGAAGGAAGGAAGGAAGTAAATAAGCATTTATTAAATGGCCACCATGTAGGCTCCGTGCTAAATTCTTAACAAATATTATCTTGTTTGATCTTCATAACAACCTTTGGAGGTAGGTGCTATTATGACCTCAATTTAACAGTTGAGAAAACTGAAGTGGACTGGTTAAGTGATAATGCTTGTCACATAGTAGCCACTTAAAAAATGGTTCTTGATTAATTAACTTGCCCAGGGTCACACAGCTAGTAAGTGTCTGAGGATGGACTGGAACTCAGGTCTTTCTGACTCCAGTATGGCTCTTTCAATGGTGCCACCCAGCTGCCCATGGAGGATTTGAATTAATTTTGATATTCTCAATATTAACAACAACAAAATGAGAAGAAAGAAGGAAGTTGCAGCTAAAGATCTAAGGAAGAAAGAAGGAAAAAACTGCAGCATGGAAGAATGGCTCATAGGTACTCCTCGGAAAAGTACCTGAAGGAGTTGATCTACATCTTGCCGCTGGACCCAGATGGCTCTGGAGGAGGGAGTGAGGCTGGTGACTCTGCTCAACCCTCTCTCCCTTAAATCCAATTCACTTGCAAGTCATGACTTCTCCTTCCTGATGTCGTGGACCTCTTCAAGAATGAAGGACAACTCACAACAAAGGAGTTGATAGAGTTGGTTTGATTGTACGTTCCAAGGCAAAGAGAATGAGCGAACAAGAGATATAATAAATATATGGAACTATTTGGAAGGCTGGGATAGAGAAAACCAAGTAGGCTTGTTTTATATTATTCCTGTAGACAACTAAACTGGGACAAGTCGGTGTAAAGCATGCAGGGATTGACCAGAAAAGAGAAGTGGAATGGAGATTTGATTTCTCCACTTCCCTGGCCCCGGCTTGCCTCTAAGGCCCCCCAGCTTTCAATTTATGAACCTGTTTCCGTGCTGATGACCCAGGCAGCCTGGCCACAGCTTGCGTTGCTGTGAAAGATAAATGATGATTTGAAATACCGAGGAGGAGAAGGAAGAGAGCATGAAAGTGGGAGGAGAGGCTGTGCCCTCTGATTTACTGGTTAATCTTTTAGTCATTGGTTCTGGTACTCAAAAAGAGGTAGCAAAAAGGCTTGACATAAGAGCTGATATTTTAAGAAGTGAGATTTCTTGTAGGCAGGAAGTAGACCTCAATGCAAAGTAGAAGCAGGGAAGACAGTCTGAATGATTCCCGGTCAAGATGCTGGTGATTTAACAGGAATGAGGTTATGCTTTGTAGCATAAATATTTCTAAATTCCTCCACTAGTCACACGTATTATAGGAAGCAGCATTCTGGCTATATCTAGGCCTAAGAAAGCTTCTCTCTTCCCCACTGGATTGCGGTGCCCACCAACACATTGGTGGAGGTTTGGAACCCAGGTCTTTCTGACTCTACAGCTTAGTGACAGGGTCCCTGGATCCTTGTGTCATCCCATCTCACAGGTTAATATCCTGAATGTGGAGAGTCATCAGCCCTGGTCTCTCTTAGGGCCTCTCTATATGTGTATGGCACTGGGGCAAAGGGATTAGAAATTATAAAACAGGCATTTAACAATTCAAGGGATATCATATATTTAAATGGGCCTACCTTGTACTCTTCTACAAGATAAAACAAAGATCAGAGTCACCAGCTTACAGAACTCTAACTGCATTCCTAGGAAACCATTGGAATCTTAGCTGGGAGTTCACCCAAACAGGCTTGTCCTGTGTTCCTCAGCCCCAATTAGTTCTGATGCCTACACCTACCACCTACACACAGAAAA